ATAACTTAATAATGTGTAGAGATTAGTGACCGTTATCTGATAATATCTGAATAACTAACTTAATAATTTTTAATTTTTGTGACAATTGGTTGTTTAAACCAAGAGTTCTTTCTAATTTCCATTTTTTTGCGTAAATTGTGTAGTATGATAAATAATTCATATCAATAAACTAACTGATAAATAGTAACAATGCATTATTACAATACATTTAGAAGTATTAAATCCGATATAGTATGAACTGGTCCAAGATCTCGTTCATCAAAACTTTGTGTGAAACCAACAGTTTAAGCAGGTAATGTCCATAATTCTTAATAATTGTTCTTTCTATTTAAGGTCTTGGTTGAGATGAAAAAGTTAGTGTGACAAGCGGGATTCGAACCCACGACATTCGGCTCAATATATCGCTGCTCTAACCACTTGAACTATAGTGGCAATAGTAAAACAATTGTTATTGTTGGAAGCCCCCTGGAAAAAATTATTAAAGGTAAATAAAAAAATAATAAACATAGGCAACGATGAAAATAAAAAAGCATATAAACAGGTGACTTGCACCACACAATGGGGTTAGTAGCGCGTTTCACTTTCCTGACAGAGGATTCGGAGGGATGGTAAGTCGAAGTCGCGAAGTCCCTCGTCAGAATCGCTGCGGACTTCCACCAGGGCAAAAGGCTTCCCTCGTCAGGATCGCAGCAGATTTCCACTTGAGCAAAAACGGGCTTGGATTGAGATGTTTTTCTTGGACTGACCAGCACAACTCTGAACCCTCCCGTCCTATCAGCTCTTATCTAAAGAAATGAAAAGGGGATTATCTTTTATGTCGCCTTAACTTAATTATGACCACTAAACGTATATGGGTTTATTTGGATCTTTTAAATTATCATTAATGGTTTCAAAGTCTTGATAAAAAAATGTTGACGAAGGACTTGAGTGTTTTCTTTTATTTAAAATTATTCCTATCCCAGATTTTTCAATACAAAATTAATTTATTATTACTACTTTCAATATTAACTGTATTGTATAAGTATGATTTTAGACAATAAAAACATTAAGTACATGACTTACCAATGATTGAATATAGGAATAAACGTGAAAGAAAAAACTTCTTTTTTTTAATTTAAACAGAATCTCACATTAAGAAATAAGGAGGTTATTGTGTAAGCCCTTTCTTTGGGAGGATGGGATTTTTCAAATTTAAGCTGAATAGAACGTCCGCCTCTATAACCGTAGCTCGGTTTCAAGCTAACGGCTAGCCATTAGTAATAACTGTCTACAGTACCCTTTACTTATCCTTGCCCTCAGATCTCTTAGCCAAATAGTTCACACTTTTTTATTAAACTCGCCCTTTGCCTTATAAAGACGACCGTTCAATCTGCCTGGGGGTACATTTTTCCAAACTGCCCCGAATAATGGTACAGAGCCGCAGTTTCCTTCCAACATTAAAGAGCAATTTTTTTGCGGAGACGCACTCTTTTTCTATCATCCCCAATGGCTTAATTTTCACTTTGCCCATCTCAGGCACCTTTAATTCAAGAAAAACTGCTTTTGGGTAGGCAAATCTCCGCTTTTAAACGTAACAGGATAAAACAGTGAATAACCGGTAAAATTTTCTTTGACATCTCTTAATAATCATTAAACCCACCAGTAATTTTGACACAAAGTTTCGTGAAAATTGTTGCACTCATTATGGAAAGAAAGGCATCGATACTTAAAATTAATATAGATAAAGCATAATTAATACCCCTCTTATAATTGATATCAGGGAAATAAAATGTTTAACAATACTACTCGTGCCATTTATTAGATGGCACAGACACTTCGAAAGAATCGCCGCTGTTCCCAAAGGATGAAAAAGAAATAAAAGGTGAAAAAATACCTTGACTGAAAAGCCTTCTTAAGATGTCCTTTTATTTAGCCTAACATGAAACTAAGCATATGTTTATTTCAAAAATAATTATTTATAGTGGATACGGTATGATCTCGGAAAAGAGAAAAAATGAGAACAGACAGTACATTATTCCTATAGTTGCAGTATGAAAGGTTAAGTTAAAAAATATGAAAAACGAGTTAAGTACGTGAAAAACTTAAAAAACTTAATATTCTATAATATACTAATAATATACTAATTTTGATAAAATCAGGAAAGCATATTTGCTAATTTCCACTAGATTTTGCTGAAAGACTCATGAAGACTCCTCACTTTAGTAGTTCACCCAATTTTCATTAAAACACATATTTGTAGTTAATGTCGTTTCCGTTAATTTTTGTCAAACTGTCGTCGCTGCGTTTCAGTTTTTTGCAATATTCACTGGTAGAATTCGACAAATTTAGGATATGGGATTCTATTCATAAAATATGTATAGATAGTTAAGTAAACATCCATTTAATTACACTACAGTCTCAAATAATATAATAATAATAATATAAACGATTGCAAGACAATCTTTCTTCTCAGTCCGATAATCCATAAATAAACAAGCATGGCAATGTTATTTCATTGATTTCAAAATAGCAATTTTTTATCCATCCAATGTTTGAGGATATTAATTTTTGTTACAGAAACGGCTTCATGAATACCGATTTTGTATAAAAAGAAAAGGTAACGTACTTAATACAAATATTTGCTTTATTATACCTCTTGCCGATCGATTCCTCTTAGAAATGATCTCAGAAATATAAAATATTTAAAAAAGACTTAAAATATACAAAATTAGGCTTACTCAGATCGCTAACGTCCAAACGAAGTAAGAATCTTAATAATTGTATTAAATATACTTCCTTAGTTTCCGAAGAGTTTTCTCCTCAGACGAGAGGAGATCGAGGTCACGATAGCTCAAGTGGTAGAGCAGCGGCGTATCAAGCCGAAGATCGTGGGTTCGAATACCGCTCGACACTGACTTTTTTATCTCAACTAAAAACCTTAATTAATTGTAAGATATTACTTGGTCAAGCGGACCACGAAACTAGTGAATTTAGTAAATAAAAAAATTGTAATCAGCTGATTTAAATTCATAACCTCAAAATTATGATAAGTTTAGTATCATTAAAAAAAATTCACTGTTAGTGTATCTGGGTAACCAAAGTGGTTTAAGATAACATTTACTTGTTCCATCTCCAAGCGATCATTCCATTAACCAAAATTAATATTGCTGAGTAAATTAATATGGTCTCCTGTTTTCCTCATTTAACCAAAGATTTGAGGGGATTCGTTTATAGATTACAAATCGTGAAGGTAAAGGGAGTTTAGCTTCCTCTTTCAGAAGCTATTGACGAAAGACAGGTGCTCACACATAATATATATTCAGAAAGAGTAAATGATAAATATACTGATATATAAATACATAGATAGATATCTAATTAGATAGATAGGAAGATAGATATGGAGAGAGGGAGAGTGAGAGAAAGAGTGAGAGAAAAAGAGAGAGAGAGTAAGTGAGTGAGAGAAGTGAGAGAGTGAGAGAAAGGGAGAGAGAGAGAGAGAGAGAAAAAGAGAGAGTGAGTTATTTTTCCTCAATCCCCTTGTTTATTTTAAAATATTAGAAAAGCTCAGAGTTAATTAGACTTAAATTGAGGATAATCTAACTTTGTTGTAACTTATAAATGTAATTATGTCCCGTTTTGTTTCAAAGGTGTGTTTATTTTCCTTTGAATAAGAAAGCCCTTTTTCTCGGCAAGCAAACGACTTTGGCCCAAAGTGCTTTATTATCGTCAAACAAGCTTAAAATAACCCTCTACCAGAAGAGTCGACCGGAGGGTGAGCACGGCGTCAATTAAAATTAACCGTGGGGCGAATACATTTCTCATTTCCACTTCAGAAGTATTTAAGAACAACTGGAGTGTGTTTTAAAGCCCAACTTTCTCTATTTACCCTCGGCTCTTCCGTCCTTCCGGTCCGAAAGTTCAAATGGGGGACTTCTGTTCATGATAGTAAATCTCGCCTAAATTGAAACGGTTTAAAATGTCTAAATACAATTCTAGAAGGGATATAAGAATTTAAAAAGTAAAGTTACAATGCCATGCAGAAAATCGATAAATTAATTTTACCTTTTTTTTCCATAAAAAGCAGCGACAAAAAATAATTATATTGCCACCTACGTCAAGCAAAACTACATTATATGTATTGAGAATTTTTTCAAGTGTAAATAACTGCTTTGTAATGCAGTCGGTACGTAACTGAATGCAATACAGTAAGTAATAAATTACATATTTAATACATAATATTTTTTGTTTTGTGTGTTTTTTAAGTCCGGTTGTTTCATAATTTTTTGAAGTCGTGAGGGGCGGTCAAAAATGAGGTAGTTTAGAATAACACCTTTTTTTGTTTTATTGCCGAAGTTTCAACCTTTATTCGGGTCATCTTCAGGGCATAAAGTGTGGTGCTAGTCTTGTGGTGTCATATTGGTTTTGTGTGAATGTGTTGTGGCTTGATGTCCATGTTTCAGTTATGTGATTTCTTTCTCCGTCTTACTAACACGTAGCATTCTCCTTTCGAATGTAAAAATCTAGTACATTGATTTCATAAAACCCGCTATTTCTCTCCACCAATGGGACTAATAGAAAAACATAGACCTAGTGTTAGGGGAGATAGGGATGACAGGCTCATTCTTGTTGAGAAAAAGAAGAGAAGAAAAACGTGGCTCTTACTAAGTTTTAAAATTGCTTATACAGAAAATGTTATCAGTTAAGGCTTTAATTTTAATTTGGTTACAGGTGTATTGTACACAACACACAGAAACCCTTACTGTTTGTGAACAGATAAAGGCAGCGGAATGTGTAAATCTTGTCGAAGGGATATTTCGGAATTTTGGAGTCGGTCATCTAACATGATTAACGATTTACACTAATTTTTGTAACTTATTTACACAAAACTATTTTAAAATGTTTTATACGACATATGATAAGACATAAGATATTTACTTTTAAAATTTCTATCTTTTATTTTTGTATGTTTACTGTTATTTGGTATTACTTCATTTTTCATCACATTTTCGACCTGGAAGATATTAACTGTTGACGTTCCATTCATCGTTATAAGCACAGTCTACCTGGTATACTCTAAACACAGGGTTCGGGTTTAAGTGTATGGACTTGCGTATCGTTTTTATACGGTTTGGCAGCAGACGTTGGAATTTTTCTGAGGATATGTACAGTGCTCTTGTTTCTCCAACAGCTGTTGCAGTCAGGGCCCTTTTACAAGGATAAACCAGGCTCAGTTCGCCAAAATGGGCACCTTGGCTAGCTCGACAAGCGATAATTTCTTGTGGAGGACCGATCCCGTGGGACAAAACTGTAAACTGCACTTTGCCTTTGATAATGATAAACATGCCATCGCCTAAATCGCCTTCACTGAAAATCGTCTTTTCATCAGGGTAAGTCCTGATATCTAATATGTCGATGATTTGATATCTCTCGTCTTCCGATAAAACGTACAGCACATTCCTCGAATTGATATAACTGGTGTAATCCATGTATTTCAAGTATTCACGGTTTAATACCAAATTCCTGAAAATTTTGCTGCTGATCGTCCAAAGTGTACCAAATGCAGAAGTCGTTATTACTGAAAATGAAGCAGGTCGACTATGAAAGAAAGCTTGCATTCCGAAGTAATTACCAGGTTTGTATCTTTTAACCGTTTTGCACTCTCCGTCCTCTGTGCTTTTAACGGCAGCAAATCTCCCATAATCGACAATGAAGAAATTATTCATTTCTTCGTCTTCTACTATCACATATTCACCCTCGTAATATTTCCTGAATTGTAAAGCGTCCAACAATAGATCAATGGTTCCACCTTCGAGGTCCTTCAAAAATACGATTTTCTTCAATACTCCTAACAAATGATGTTTCTCTTCTTGCAATTTCGAGATTACGTCTATGTCTTGGAGGCGGCTTTTAGGATAATTTGTTGGGTTAAAAACGGCACCCCTTCGGGTTTCGAAATACTTCTCGTCGAGGTCGACAAATTCCGCCAATGCGACCTCCGGACCAGAACAGGACAGTTTCGTCGTACCGCACTCCTCTTTCATGGTCTCGAAGTACCGGATGATAAAATCAAGTATGTTATCAGGCTTTTCCTCAAGAAAACACATATATATATCGAATATCAACGCTTTGAATTCTTTTGGAAATGTGATATTAGTGACATTATTTTTTGGAGGGTCGAAATAAAGTCTCGGAGCTGCTTCTACTTCCATTTTGAATTTAAATTTTATAAATATTTACAACGTAATATACAAGCAATAAAAAATACAAAAACGAACTAAATTGTCATTACTACCTCTAACGCAATGCTACAGCATATGTGAAAAATCAGGTGGGGCAAAATATAATTTAAAAAGATAATATTTCGTCATTTGTAAAACATTTACTAAAATGCATATAAGATTTCCAAATGAACTTTTTCTGTAGAAAATAATAAGGTTTTATGTGACCTTTGATGTGGCAAAACACAACAAATAATATCTTGGACGTACTACTAAGTGTATAAAATAGTATTACTAAACGGTTACCTATTTATTTATTTATTTTTTGTTAATATCTACGCCAAGTGGAGCATCAGAGTTTTTCGACGCGACATTTCCTTCCACGTATTCTCTCTCTTGTTCTTGCAACATGATGACTTTTACCTTTAGTTTCCCACAAAAATCGATAGGTCTGATACAGTTGGATAAGTCTCATGCGGTCCTTCTGGTTGATTCTGAAGTTTGAGACGTGTGCCTTTACACAGGCAACGCGAAGCACTTTGATGCGCTTGACTGCGTCTGCTCACCTTGAAACATCATCGCGCAAAAAGTTTCTAAATGAGGTCTAGGTATACACAACGCGAGACAATTTCGCAGAACAGTTGCTCGAGTCATTTTCGCGCAATGGAAACGCACCTATACAGGCGTAAATATTCCTGTTGTCCAAGATGTAATACGCTCCCGCTACCACAAGCTTCATGAAACAGCCAACATAAATCCTCAAATCTAGAAATTCTTACCCCGAGTATTAATTCCCTTTTGACCCTCCTTGCTGACTAAAATGACTCTGGCCTTAAGATCCCATGACAGTGACAGTGATAGTGTCACAAATCTTAATTAAATGTAGTATTTTACTCATTTCTTTTCTTTTACTAACAATCAACGTTTTTCCATTCTAATGCCTAAGAAATATTAACTTTTCGATCAATTTCCTACATCTACTAAATTGTATTGTTTGCAGATTAAATTTATTTATCAATCACAGTCGATAATTAGTTTTGATGGATTAAAAAGATTACTTCCTTTTGTTTTTTGTGATACTGAAAAATATCGAAACTATAAGGCTGTTCAGTAAGAACCTCATCATCTCTGCTGGTTTTACCGTAGGACAGCGTAGAAAACGCCGTTTCCAAGCGATACGGCTTCATTTAAAACTGCCATGAATCAAAGAAACAAATTACGTTGTTTCGGCTCGCCAAAGTAACAACGCATTTAGCTTAGGGGCAAACACTATTGACACGAAAGCGTGCAACAAAACATAACTAATTGCTCTTTCCATGCGAACTCCAGCTCGAAGGGACGGCAATAGTCGCTCCTGGCGGAAAGGCGTGAACCATGTTATATCATAGAGTAGGAACTGTTCAGCAAAATAACACTATTTTGTTTAATTTTTAAACTAACTATTTGAATTATTTACAAGCAAGCTGATGAAAGTGACAACGCCTATGCCCAAAACGAAACGTTGTTTTAATAATAATCATTATTTATTTGGATCTAATGAGTAAAAATAATTATATAGATGCGTAACCTAAATTACGGTTTACAATTCTTAAAAAACAAGGAAATGGTCTAAATAAATCTTTTGATGAATTAGGAAATTTGTGCACTAGTACAATCAACACAATTAATTTATTATGCGATATAAAAATATTAATGAAAAATTATGCCTCTTATCTTCATGGCGACATAATGTACAATTGAAAACACCTGGATAAAAAATTGGATATTCGTTGATAATTTTCATGAAACGATTGCTTACACATAAATATTTTCGCAAAGTGCAACAAACCTTAGGCAAGCATAAATTTATAATTTTTTTTTTACGGCAAGATAACAAAAATATTGATACGGAGAGATATATTGATATATTTGTTTAGAGAAGTTTGTTTATAACCCTTTTCTTGGTTGTGCGCTTTGTTTATAAAACTTGCGTAGGAAATTTTTATGCACAATTATTGAACAAATCAACCATAATAAATTTAAGAATATATAAGTTTGTTTTAGTTGTGAAAAAATATAACGTAAATGTTTCTCTTATTTCCATTCATATTTTATATAAAATAAAAGAAAAAACTTTTTATCTAACTATAATATAATATACATATTATATACTAACATATACTAAGAAACACAAAAAACATTGCACTTCATGCAAACGTGTGTAACAAATTTATAAATATATGCAAATCCTTGATTTCTAGCAAAATTTCAAATGAATTCTGAGAGAAGTATTATGCAAATATCTATTCCAGGTATTCCTTATCATCGTGATGGAAAGTAAAACTAAATTTTATATATTTATTGTAAAACATCAGCCCGTCTGAATAAATGCAATTGGAAGCATTTGCATTTGAATGCACGGCCTAGCATCGAGTTCTGAAAAGCATAAACATACATACTTTCTCGTCTTCTTTATAATATGGTCCAACATGTCATAATCCTACGCTGTGCCCTCCTACGGAATCGACAAGGCAATCTTTTTCAGCTTTATGTTAATTCTATGGTATTGATTTTTCTCTGTTATATAAAAGAATTTGGGAATTAGGAAAAAAGACGATTTTTTATATATAATAAAAACCATTTACATTCTCTGTGAATTTTACTAGTAATATAAAGAATTTTTATATTTGACCAGTTTGTAATGAAAATATTTAAATGTCTGAACAATGTAATGCCTTTTTTGGCTAAACATCCAACTTTCTACTATGAAAATATTGATGGTCACTTGCCTGCATTGCTGAAATAAATTTTGAAGAAACAAATTTCATCATTTAATGAATCATTTAATGAAGACGAACTGCGTGTAGCTTTCGGTATGAGCATAACTGTTGCATTTTATACGTACTTTTTAACACGAAAATGCTTAGGGTCAACTGAAAAAATATCTCGTTATCATTTTGCTAAAAAGTTACTACAATTTTGACATTTGAAATTTGTTCGCAATAAAAATGTTTTTTTTTTTCATCCTAATTATGGTCGGTGGAATTATGAACGCCTAGCCCATATACATGATTCAATGATTTTCTGTGACGTGAAGAAAATAAGCAAGGCCGAAGAGCGTATTTGTTTGGCTCTCTTCGAAGAAGAAGCTTGAACATTTACTTACTGACAACAAACTCACATGCATTTTTAAATATTTAACCCAAATAACATCGGCTATCTTTCATCTATATTCGGAAGATTTCTTCTTTGTCCGGTATATAGAATTTTACACGGAGAATCATCCACGATAATTGAATGACTCGCTTACGCCCCCTCCTTTGTCCCTTTTCGGACAATAACAATGACGCCGGGAGACATTATTAACCGAATGGGGCCGGCAATTTTGAGTTGAAACAAGAGACGGGATTGTTTGCAGTGACCGTCCTTTGGCCCTGGGGGGTTTAATTTGCCTAGGAATGTTCATTAGTTGTCCGCTTTTGTATCAACCTTTTGTCCTTTGGAGCAGCAGCCAAAAGCAAAGCGCTCTAGGAGAGTAAAAAAACCGTTTTTGTTTATTGCTTAATTAGTTCTTTGATTAAAAAACAACTGTGACCGTTATCGAATCAGTGTAAATATAAAGAGTTCGTTTACGAACTTTAAGATCAAAAACAGAACCTTATTACAGTAAAGTTATATGCTCTCTGCAGAAATAAAAATAACTTTATACATTATAGGATAACTTTATTTATACATTATAGTTCCTTTATTTTCATTTTTTTCTATTTTAAGCTTTGCTAAAAAAGAAAAAAATATGGCGGCTAAGAAGCAACACTGCACTGTGAAATAGTAAAAAAATAAGTTTAATATAAATAAAAGAACTTTAAGAGAACAATATTTTTTTAGCGTATATATCAATGTTAAATTAACAAAGATAACCAAATTTAAAATGGAAATATATTTAAGTAAACCGTTTGAAAAGAAATCGGAACAATATTTTATGGAGATTTTACATATTACAGGGTGTGGTGGTAGAGCCATAATATATAAATAGTCAAATCTCGTATGTCTGTAGACATTGCGTAGGTGTAAATATAATCATGTCCGGCTTCAACGAGGGTACATGAATCTGAATTATTGATATTTTCCAATTCCTCTCTATGTAGTTCAATGAGGTGTTTCAAAACGGTAAAGGTATGGTCTTATTTATTACCCAGACTACAATGTTATCAACTGTTATATGACGGTGAGTTTGACACAGCCAATTGTACAACATAAAATTTCATCCCAGTGCCGATCATAAACAATGATCATTGTAATAAGAAAACAAATGGTCATACTCTTCTTACCCAAACAATTCAACGGATGCGTCAATATTGCATTCATTCATACTCACTACTTATAAAGATACTTTATATTATATCACTTCATCATCACACCGACCTCAACATTCCTTTTGTACATGATCTAGCACAAACCCGATACCGTTGAGTCATCTTCTTTTACACCCACTGTAATTCCCCAGTCAGTCACTGTCTTACATACATTTAGATATTATGTATGGTCCTTTTCCAATTTGTCCATGATCGACCCTATATTGTGATATTATATTAATGTAATTGATATCACACTTAATAAAAAAATAATATATAAAAAATCAGACCTAAGGCACATTTGAAAGAAAGAAAACCCAATCTCTCCATCAAGCTTTCGAGGAATGAATTAAATAAAAATTAAGAAGATTTGTTGTGAAATTTCTGTTAAGCTGGTACAACAGTCAAGTTTACAACTGTGTAAAGATTCTAACCTATTTCTTTCATTATACATTAATTCCTCTGATCTCCCTAGGGACTCAAATTTTTTTCTTAAAGCGATTTTCGAACTAACATTTGATCATCTATAGTCAACACAAATTACCTCCTTAAAGTGATATTTTTTCTCACTCTTCACTCTCTCTCTGTTTCACTCTCTCTCTCTCTCTCTCTCTCTCTCTCTCTCTCTCTTTCTTTCTTACTTTCTCATACACTAAATTG